ACCTATTCTGCTTATTTCCAGCTATATAGTCTTAGTCTCAGACTCTACTAGAGCAGATTTTCATACAAAAACATCAACAACATTTATCTCATAGTGGCCCTTCATGAATGCCTTATGTCTGAAAGAAGCAGTCTCTTTAAGAGGGCGTTTCTGAGTGACCATTTGATTTGATTTGTGATTTTAGGACTTACGTGCAGGACCAGCATTTCTTAACAAACAATTTGAATGACTGCATGACCATACTTCTGGTAAGGCTTTAAGAATGGCGAAGCTTTCCTTTGCAGTTCTTTCCATCCAACACTTTAGTACTGTGGGGTGTAGTGATCATGTGGGGGCTTTACATTGTTATCTTTTCTCTATGATGAGACTTTTGCAGCTTCAGAGATCCAACCTCCCCATATGGATAATCTGGTTTTAATACAAACACACAGGAATGAGACAAGAGGTCAGGTGATGACCTGAAACACACACACACACAGACACACCGACTCCACACATCATCCTGTCTACATGAGCGGCAAGAAAGAAGAGCACATAAACTCCTGCTACTGAGGGAAGTACCACACTCTTCATTGACCAACATGCTTTTGGAATGATGTCATGTTTATAACAGAATGTCCTATCTGGGTTGGTTTTCATATTTACTTAAATTTACAATAAATTACAATACATGGCCTATGTTGTCCTAAAAAGCCTTTCAACCTCATATATTATTCAATTCAACTGATCACATCATGTGTTTATTAAAGAACCAACGTTGTTTTAGAGGTCTTTACAAACCAGTGACCCAATAATCCAGTCTCCAGTTATACAGCTCTGGAGACTTTTCCCACCAAACTTTTTTTCTTCTGTTTTTTCTTTTTGTTTCTATTTGGGTCCCAGCAGGCGGAGTGACATCACACTTTCTCACGCTCCTTGTCCATCCTGTCTTCCTCCGAGTGCTCGGAGTCCGTCTCTTCCTCTCCCGTCCTCCCAAGTGGGTCATAGACATTGTTGGTTTCCTGTTACTTCTGTTCAACTCTTCCAACAACTGCATTATGAGCTGTCATTAGCATTAAATGCATAATATAATATTCTAACTGAAGTGTACTTCCTATAAATGTATGTAACAGGAACATGCAGAGTGGTTGATTTAGACCGATGCAGGAGTGTGTCTAAGGGGTGACAGAAGTCAAAGCTCACATTTGCAAGCTAATAATTAAACAACATCCACACTCAGTGTTACACCAGATAAGAACCAGCATGGGGAATTAACATAAAGATTATGAGTAATCAGGATACAAAAAAAGGTAACTGTAATACATTACAGTTACAGAAAAAAGATATAATCAGATGACAGTTACATTAAGCAAAATGGGATTAGCAGGATTGCAATTTTAAAATTATTTTTAAAATAAAGAACAACATATGATAACGACTTATTAATTCGTTGAGAATAACAAGTTGTTTTTCGATTATAACGAATTAATGTAATTTTGTTATCTCGAAACAGAACAGATTGTTATCTTCTGATATACAATGAATCCGATTAATGTGTGTTCGTCTTTCTTCTAAGCTAAGTGGCCGCGTGCACGAACGCTTCCGCACTTACGTGCGCTACAGCCTCGACCAGTGGCTAACGGACATTTAGCATTCTACCGGTTAAATCAACGAACACATTATTCAATTAATTTAGTTATCAGAGATACAGTCTTTTGTTAGATCGAGATAACGAAATAATTGATTCGGTTATACGGACAGAAAACACAAACTTTGTTATCTCGAATAACAAACTGCATGGCTCTGCTCCCTCCTGCTCCCTTGCTCTCCCTCTTACCTGTTGTGTACTCCGGCAGTGCGGCCTCAACATCACCTCACCTGTTGCTGCTCACCTGCGTCAATCAATTCATCAACATCAGCCTTAAGAACCGGTCTTCCTCCCATGTCACGCCAGATTGCTTAGACCTGAGTGGTAACTCGGGCCCTCTTGAATGTTTTGCTACTCCTACAGTTTACTTGTGATTTTCCTGCGCCTGCTCCCCGGTTAACCTTTTCTCTCAGTGCTCCAGGTCCCTCCTGGCGTTTCTGAGTCAGCTCAACCTGTGCCTCCGTGTGTCCAGTCCTAGCCAGTTTCAACCTCTGTTCCTGCTGGGTGGCCACCTCATCCCCTCTGTGTGGTGTGTTGTGCGTGTGGGAATAAGACATTAACGCTCATTCTGTCTGAGTGTCGCTCATGGTTCCGTCGAAACTTAGCCATGAAATTACAAGCTTTGGTACAAAGTTTGCACGAACGCCCTAGCCACTGCTTAGCTGCTAGGCTAACGGGTAATTATACTTTACGCTCTGGTTTATTTATTGACTGGAACTGTTGTGACAGCCTAGGTTGAATCCAAGACGAACACATTATTAATATATAGTCTAATCTCGAGCAAACGATCTTTGTTATGTCGAGTAAACGAGATGCTCATTACAACATAAGTACAGGACTGCATAAAACAAAAAAAAAGATATCCATGGCGTCTCCTGCTCCGTACAATCGCGTGTGCCTCTGGTCTTGTAGTTACAACAGAGCTACAGTCTCCTACAGTGTACCAAATTCATTATCATAGCCTCAATGATGTAATTGAACATTTATTTTCAGAAAAGGTTAAAGATGAGCACACATCAGAACAGTGCAAATTCCCCCTCACAGCCTGTGAAAACTTGTAGCTACTGCTTAATCTGCTTCATGAAAAGAACGTTTGTCTTACATATTTCTCTGACATGAGAACATATGGATTCCCCTTTTTCATTACTAAGGTTAATGTTAGTTGTCTTACAGATAAGTAAAAAGGTCACCTGATTGTTTTATTGGATGTTACTATATGTATTAATTTGGCATTATGTTCCTGGTTCATTTTTTTATCAGGTCAATAGTACATTGTATGGGGAAAACCCTGGACAGTACAGTTAATGGTGACTTTACAGAGTCAAGAGGCAGACATGACATAATAAAAAAACCATGTTATGTGGGAGTTTCAGTGTAGAGGAGCATGTGGGAATGTCTATGAAAAACCACTTTGGAGAGGTTAGTTTTTGTATGAGATCAACACTATAATTCAAAACTCTGCTAATGCAATCACAATTCAGGAAAAGAGAAAAGCAAAAGATCCTTCCAATATGACATCAGTGTCCCTAACGCTCAAAAAACGTGTTTTTTCTATTGTTCCCGGTATTCACATATCTGCTAAGGCCAGGACACACCAAACCCGATTTATAGACGTCCGGCAGAAAGCAGTCGGCTGAATCAGATCGCTCCCGTTCCTCGAGATCGCCCCAAACCACCAAAACGACCGACGAGCGTACGTTCTGCGCTGCGCGAGCTAAAGTCCCCATAACAGCAGGCGGCGCTTACTCTGCGTGACGTCGCAAAAAAAATGAACACCCGAAAATGACCGCAGTCCCCTACACTACGCCACACACACAGAGCACGGCCGTCTCAGTCTTGTTTTCATCAAGAGTTTTGATAGGTGCAACAAGGATCGTTATTGTCAGATTTATCGCTGAAGAAATAAATGCTACTAAATAACCAGATACTGGTGTTGGCAAGCTCTCGGCCTTTCCTTCTTGTGGAAGAAAGAAAACGATGCTGCGCCGGCGAAAAAAAAAAGGATTGCTGGGGATAAATCATATCACAGCGAAGCTCAGGAGCTTTCCCGATTTTGTGTGGGAAATGGAGATGGACGAGCCAGATGATTTCAAACATTTTCTCGCTCTTCCTGCCAGATCTCACCTGTGTTTGAGAAATTGTAAACGATTATGCCCAACTTATCTGTGATTGTTATCGACGAACGTCTGATCCCACACTGCGCGCTTCCTCGCCAACAGGTAGCTCTGTTTTGTTGTTACTCTTCGTTTATTCGTTTCTTCTCGGAACCTGGAAGCTCTTCGTATGATTAATACAAAGTCATGTTGTTCTTTTATCAATCGCAAGGAAAGCTTCAGCAGTTGTGGGTTTCGTTTTCGAGGTGTACTGCACAAGGTCTCTCGGCAAATCATTCTGAAACGCTTCACGCCATCTACCAAGGTCTTAATATCTGAAGGTATGTTGATATATCTATGTTCACAGTAGTATTGAAGCTGTAAATAGAGTCTGCATGATGTAGTAATGCTTTTTGTGCAACTGCATGTTGCATTTTTCTGACGCGACTGATTTCTTCTAAAGCAGAAAACAGATCACATTTGTATAGTCAGGTTTGGTATTTTTCTGTCTGTGAGTGTGCAGACACAGGCAGCATGAGTGAGCAGGTAGTCAGTGGACTTCATGTCCCAGTGGAATTCACCCAAATTGCTGGGCTGCCTGGATGGGAAAACACTACAAATGCCGCCCCCCACCAGGGATGGAATCCACGATACCTACAAAACATACTTCTCCATTTGCTCTGTGATGGCACTGGTCGAACAGCTCGCCACAGGGTTTCGTAATGGGATGTCGTTTTATGGAGAGTTTTGATGTGAGTGTTTCGTGGATGCACATGTAGCAGATGCCCCTGGAAACAGACAACCAACATCCTGACCCTGCACCTCACTTCCAGTTCTCACCAATGTCTCCATAACTGCATTGTGGCATAGATGCTTCCCGTGACAGACTAACCTGTTGAAAATAGTGCAGAACCGCACACTCACTGTAGAACAGCGCATCTCTCAACACAGGCTGTCGCGAGCTGGTCGGAGAGGGTTTGGAATCATTTGGGATCATGGCCAACCGTTACGCGTCTTGCTAACCAAAGCGATCAACATCCCGAAAACACTTTCAGGGAAGCACATTGTCCTGGCTTGTTGTGCCTCTGCATAACTTTCTAACGGAAGTGAAGGCAGCGATGCATACATGCAGACATTGTGGACAGGAAGGGACCAATAGAGAGATCATTGAAGGACAAGATGGAGAGCAAGACCATGCCCTAAAACAAGCCCCCTGCCACTACAACACCACATGCAGAGCAAAGGCCAAACAGTACACCGATGAACCATGTCGTTTCTTCAGCTCTGATCCGGTGCAGTGCTTTTCAGTTGGGAAAGAGATAGGACCAGAATTGTCCTGTGTAAAGGAGGATAACTTGTTGGTGTTGAAAGGATCAATAAAAATCATAATCAATCAATCATGGCCTACTGTATCATTATCACCACAAATCTACACACTAGTCATAGATTTGGAACTATGAATATTTTGGCTCAGGGGATAATGAGATTGCAAAGTTTAATTAATCGCTTCTCAATAAACGCATTTATCAGTATCAGTAAGTCATTATCAGTGGATGGACACGTGCGCGACTGGCCTTCACTCTCAGAGCAATGACAGTTCATGGGCCTGTTATTAGAAACAAATAATGTTGTGAAGTACGCCTTGGCATAAGCTGTATGCATGTGTAGACTATAGTTGAATGGGTAAGGTGCTCACATTAATTGAGAGTAGAAGCATCCTGGTTCCCAGATAAGTTGTTAATGGTGAAGAAGAACCTGGAATGTTTTCACAAGTTCCCATATATGTCATGTTAAGTTGGTTTCATGTAATGAAACCTAGCATATGACTGAGGACAAGACGAAAGGCCGACCATCAAGTGTTCATGTGGTATTGTGTTAACTCACAAGTTCCACATTCACTTTGCTGTCAATATTAAGTATGCATCTCTAGGACTGTGAAAAAAACAGGGACATTCCTTTCAAAGATATGCTTTATTATCAGAATCAAAATGTAAAAAGAGTAATCAAATCTCCATGAAAATAAAAGGGAAAAGCACAATACAAATATTAAGCGTCATTTGTGATGGTGTCCAGGTTATGCTCCTCAAAAAAATTAAAATTGGGTGCCGGTTAGCTCAGTGGGTAGAGCGCACATACCGGAGTGAGTCCTTGATGCACGGCCAGGGTTCGGACCTAACTTCTGCGGGGTCAATCGCGTCTG